GGGTTTGTCTTATGGTCAGTACAGATTCAGCTCAATCTTCAACATCTAAAGTCCTGTATAATGATGTTCAGGATGATGACACTGAAGCAGGATAAGACTTTCAATTAATGATCTTCACTTTTTATCAGTATACTAAAGCTGGAATATACACTTATGCAACCGTCAGAATCAAAGAATTTGACAAAAAGAAGGGACCCCTGTGGCTATCTGGTCCAACTCACATTCAAAAGAAAAGTCTACTATGACATAGTTGACAGGTACTTGTCCAGTTTTTGCTTGAAGACCTCTAAGGAAGGGGAATTTGCCCATCTCTGAGGCAGCCCATTTCACTCTAGGACATCTCTAATTGTTGTAAAGTTTTTCCTGACATCAAATCTCTGTAAATTTTCCTCACTAGAGGTCCTATATTACAAAAGGAGTTTATAAGTTTATATTTAACTTGATATCCCACTCTGGAACTGTTTAACTGAAATATAATCACAGACTTAAGAGATGAAAGGAACTTTAGACATCATCTAGTCTAATGGTGTCAAATTAAAATAGAAACGGATCCCTGCTGGCAGTATGTTAACTTAGAAAACCACAAATTAACGTTATCTATGTTGTATTTGTATTTATTTTTGTTAAACATTTCTCAACTACATTTTAATCTAGTTCAGGCTGTACTTGGGAGTTTTACACAGTTAGTAGAATGGTAGGCTGAAAAGTTGATATTTCTGTCTAATCCCCTCATTTTACAAGTGAGGAAACTGAGGCCCAGAGCAATTCATCGATTTATTCAAGCTCAGTTACAAGTTACTAGCAGAGGGCCTGAACTTAGGTCTCCCAACTCCTGGTTCAGTGCTTTTCTTTTTTTTCTTTTTTAAATTAAATCATGCCTTGGCTTCTTAGAACACAGAATTAGTAGAATACAAAGATCAATGTAATTTTTCCCCTATAAAATGATAAAATCATATAATTTAAAAACCCAAATATTTTAATGAGAACAAACTGGTTTCAATGATAACTTGTAATCAGCAATAATATGGCTACTCTCTTGGAATTCAAAGTCTGTCCAAAAAAGCAGCAAGTAACTAGATCAACAAGCAGATAAGACTACCTGACAAAGATATAGAAAATACCCTCTTCCTTAAGTCTGCTCTGTCCAACTTTTCAGACTACAAAAAGATGGAAAGAGATAGCTTACTATATATTTTTTAGTTTAGAATACTTTATTTTATTATTTCAATAGTTAACAGTGGTTCTCTTAGAAGACTAAACCATATGGCATTTTAAAATTTGCCAAAGATATGTCTTTGGCTTAGTGCTGCCCTAAGATCAGAGGATCATAATAGCTTTAGGGCTAGGAGGGATCTTGAGGTCTTCCAGTTTAACTTTCATTTTATAGATTAGGAAACTGAGGCCCAGAATGGTAAAGTAACTTGGCCAAGATCACCCAGAGAGTACTTGAACCAATGATTACAAATCCAGCACTCTGTTCCACTACAATTACACTGCTTCCCACCATCCTAAAACAACAACAACCGAATGATCAGGTATGGAGGGCAAGTTTATATGCAACCATTTTAAGAAATAACTTTAAAAAATAAATTAGAGACCCACTGAATTTTTTTAAGAGTATTTTATAAAACAGCAGGTTTGGAGGTTATAGGATCATACATTTAGGGATGGAAAGCACCTTAGAGATTCTCTAAACCAACCCCTTAATTTTACAGATGAGGAAACTGAAGCCTATTCAGTGACGTGCCCAAGATTACACAGACTCTATGAGTGACAGAGTCAAGATTTGAACCTCAGGACTCTAGATTCCAAATCTTGTTTTTATCAGTGCACCATTGAGAGATGAATTAGGGTTCAGTTGTGCTGAATACTTAATACCTAAGACTAGTACAAAAAAGCTAAGAATAGTTCATTTTAGTTAAGAAGGCTAGTAAATAAAATCAAAATGATTTATGATAGTGTGTACCTCTGGATGAAGAAATCTGCATATGATCATTGTTCATCTGTAAAAAAAAAATCTCTCACTTAGGTTTCCAATGAATACTTGTCACTACCTTCCTGAACTTTCAAGACTTAACACATCATCCTAGTTAGTCAATTAATAAGTATTTATTAGGTGCCTATTAGGTGCCAGGTATTGTATTAAAGGTTGGGAGTACAAAAAGAGACAAAAGATAAGTTTCTGCCCTCGAGGAGCTTCTTACTGAAGGAGGGAGACAATGGGCAACCAAACCTGTACAAACACAATATATAGAAGATAAAAAGAAAATAACTGAGAGAGGGAAGGCACATAAATAGCAACCATTACTGTGACGCCTGTTTGGAAAATTACAAAAGAGCCCTAGCTGGTATGTTCCCCAACTGGTAAGTAAACATGGCTGAGAGCTACCCGCCTGGCCAGGCAACGTCTAGTACTAAGGGCTCCAAGCTGAAGGGACTGTGTGGGTTGTTTTAATGCCATGTAGAATCCCATCCTACTTCCATCTCCACTTCATTTGCTACCAGTCACAAAAGGTAATCACCCCCACCCATACAGAAAGCCTATCTCTGCCAATGAGCTGACTCTGGACTTAGATCACGGACTCCCTTCTCTTCCTTGTTCCTTGCTCTGCCACTGCAAATGGGAAAACTTTCTACAAAATAAGGCTTATAAGATTCTTTGATATCCACAGATGGAAGTTATATTATATTGTAATTGAATAATATACTGAATATTATTTCAATATTATTGGAAGTATTTTAGTCAAAGATTCTAATATATATATATAATATATATATATACATACACACATACATACATATTTTGTGCAGGGGACTACAGAATAATTCAGAATTCAATCTCAGCACCTTCCTCTTCATGGAAGAAAAGATTCCCAAATACTAGAAAGACTGAGGAGTGGGTAGAAAAACACAAAAATCAGTACCTCAAAGATACTAAATGTGTTCTCTGGAAGTGGGTGGATGGGGAAGGGTGGCGGGGGGGGGAAGCAGCGATCAGGGTGAAGAAGAGAACAGGCCATAGACATGATACGAACTCAAGACAGTTCATTGGTAGGGGGTCCTTCTCTCCCTGCTAAGGAGGATGGGAACATTAGGCCTTGGACAAATTACTTACCCTCTCTAAGCATCATTTTCTGCATCTAGAAAATGAATAGTTTAGACCAGATGACCTCTAAAGTTCCTTTCTATATCTAATCTATATTCCTATGATCCTATTGCCAAAAAAAGATAAGAGTAACAGTAACTACCAACCTATATATCACCTACTTTCTTAGCTTTTATAAAATCATTATGAGAATAATCTAGACAAATTTCAAAGGCATGCTTTAGTTTAAGAAAGGAAGAGGCAGGCTTTCACTAATGATATTCTACAGCAGACCACCACTTTAGAGTCACAGAATTGCCTAAATCCCATTGTGCTTTATTATTTGTTAACTTTTTACCCCTGACTTAAGTTCCTTTCTTGAAAATGAGAGAGTTGGACTAGATAACTCCAAAGTCCCTTCTAGCTCTAAATCTACAATCCAATTAGCATATTTTAAAAAATGGACTCTGTATAACAAAATATTGCCTTAAAGGCTCTCTACAACAAGGCTTTTCCTATTCATGTCAAAATTTTAAAATGTTAATAAAACAGATATCTAAAAGCTCTGATGATTAATACAAGAAAGGCATATAACAAAGCTAAATATGTGCTAGTCAAAAGTGTTTGCCACCGTCATGGAGGCTCTCTTGTGTAGAGAATCAACTGAAGGCGGCCGCCTAGTGAACTGAGGTACTACAGATGCTCCTGCTTTAGGATGCTATTGTGCTGACTGAATCAAACTCTGAAACACAGTACAAACTCCTAAATGAGCGAAATAATCACTCAAAAGAGTTTGGCTTAATCCTTTCGCAGCACGGAGCAACGGTCTTTTGAGTCAGCAGGGTTCAATTCCTTTTGTCACTTAGTATCTACGTGACCCTGGGCCTCAGTTTCTTCATTTGTAAACTGAGGGTGTCTGACTCAATGGCCTCTAAATCTATGATCTCATGATCAATCAACAAACATTTATTAAGCTCCTACTAAGTGTCAAGCAATGTGTTAGGTATTGGTGATATAAAAACAAAATGTTGTCCTCAGGGAACTTATATTCTAAGACCAAGGAATTTAGTCCCTCAGCATTCATTACCAACTACCAAAATTCTTATGGAGATATTCTATTCAAGGGTTTAGAAGTCAACAGCTTTGGTGATGAAGGGATAGAAAGTCTGAGAAAAGAACTAAGAGGTAATCTTGGAAATGTGCACTAAATTTAGGTGTACACTTGTATTTATGTTTTAGTTTTCCAACAAGAGAGGTAGACATCTAAAAAGGAAAATAAAAGCAGTAGGGGAGATAGAACCCCATTACTGCATTACTTGTTGCTAAACAGACTCGGATACACTGCAGATTAAATTATATCTTCCCCAAAAGCCAGGTAGAGTAAAAGTTTGATATGGAATTGTTAGCATCTGGGACAGTCACTATTTTTGTTGATGTCAAGTTGATAGTGCACATTTTATTATGGTGATTCACTTGGGGTTTTTTCCCTAGTCATAATAATGTGTTGGTACTCAGTCAATCCACACTCTCGCCAAATCCCACTTGTTATCCACAAGTGGAATGGACTGTCTAGGGTGGTGCTGGCTTCCTTTCCTCACTGGAAGTCTCCAAACAGAGGCTGAATGACCACTTATGAACTATGACACTGAGGGAAAGGACATGACAACGAACTCTATTATGGTTCCACTCATCATTCTCTGACTTCCCAGACCAAAACACCCTTCCCTAGCTACTGCTCCTGTTATGTGTCCCTCCATTGGAACATAAGTTCCTTGAGGACAGGGATTATCTAGTTCTTTTCTATTTATATAGCCATTGCTTAGCACAGTGACTGGCATACAATAAGCACCTAATGGATTTTACTCATTCATTCATAGAGGGAATCCTTGATTAAGTTCATGTTGGACTAAATTACCTTAACATTCCTTCCACCTCTGAGATACTCTGACTCTGTAAAGAAAAAAAAAAGATCCTGAAGGTGGTCTCTGTCAAATTCCTCATAAATTTGTCAACCCTATAAAAAAAAAAAAAGCTTCAGTACATCGCCTTCACACATGCCAAAGAATAGGGCTTGGTGCAGGACAATGATTCAAAAGCATCTACAATTGTAATGCAGAAGCAATACAGGCCATTTTATTTGGGGGTTATTGACAAAGAAGCTGTTTTCCAAAGCAAAGAGGGAAAAAAATTTCTACATGTATGAAATCACAGTTTTCTCATTTTTCTCATAATTCCAATACAAAGTTTATATTATTATGTCACCCATTCCCTCCTGCAGAACACTCACTTGTCTCAGCAAGTTTTCTAGGCCTTCATTAAAACTCAAAGGTAACTCCAACCTGCTGCTACCCACTTCTCCCATGGGCACACTTCTGTTCACACTGTGTCTAAAGAAGCAGCTTTCTTCTGAACAACATGCCACAGGTGCTCTATAAAGAGGCAGTACTAGATAATAAACCAGCTTAAAGACAGGTGTGGTGCAACAGAAAACAAATACATTAGGGCGTGATTACTTGCATTATAGAAGGATTCTTCTTTTTTTGAACTTGCATGGTATTCATTTACAGATCAATAATTACCAAAGTTGTATGGAGGTTAGAGGACAGGAATTGGGAATTTGGGAGGGACAGAAGCAGGGCTCGCAGCTAAAGTCTTAGAAATCATTGCTTTTTGAAGATCAATCTATCAGGAATTAAGACAATGTATTTCTAATATAACATAGAGAACATTTCCATTTGCCAAAGTGCTTTATCCAACTTTAGCAGTGAGTGAGATTGGGGAAGACCCCTCATAAAATTTAAACTTAAATAAGTTAAATAAGGTAAAGACCCCTAATAATAATATATGTGTGTACATGTGCCCAGCTCAGGAAGCTTGTAAATAGCCCAGATGGATATGTTCAAATTACTGCAAAAATAATCACCACTACAAATTATTCCAGGATCTGAAATGAACAAAAACAGGATGTACTAAGACGATACTTGAAGGAGTGGGAGGCAGGTAAAACCTATGTAACAATTCTGTAATTTCCTCTGCTGTTGCTGGGGTAGTTTTTTCATGTTTAGATTGTGCCCTCCGAAGCCCAGCCAATGGGATAAGAGGTAGGGGCTAGGGAGGAGTTGCAGTTAGAACCTATAAAAATCTTTGTTTGGCTGATACCACCTGTGCTCTTGCATTGAACTGCCTTTTGGTTTGAGTTGCCCTTTCTCGAGATCTAAATAAAATCCTTTCTACTTTCTACCTGGAGAAGCCTCTGAATTAATTTGGGTAAGGGTCATCGCTGTCCCACACAGCAGGCATCTATTACATAAAGTAAAGTGTGCCTGGAGGCAGCTGGGTAGGTCAGTGGATAGAGAGAGCGGGGCCAGGAAGTGGAGTCAGGAGTTCAAATCCAGCTTCAGACACTTACTAGCTGTGTGACCCTGAGCAAATCACTTAACCTCTGCCTTAATCCACTGAAGAAGGAAATGGTGGCAAAACACCCCAGTAGAAAACCTCATGAACAGTATGGTCCATGGGATCATGAAGAGTCAGTCATGATTTCATTCACTAGCACAGGGGTAGGTAATTTGCTCAAGTTAAAGAGTCTAACTGTATAAAAATTAAAAACAAATGCTCAAAGTACCAGTACAAGAATCATCATTTTCACAACTGAAAATATTATAACTCAATAATAATGTTGGCATGATAATTAATATTGGGATAATGTAATATAACATTGGTTGGTCAACCGATTGATTTAAATTGGCATAATATAATTGATTAAAAATATAACACTATATTCATAGACATTACTTGATAACATTAAAATTGAGTGGGAATATTGCTTCTTTCTTTTCATTCATTTCTTGGTTTATAGCATAACTCCTTCACTCTTCCTTCCCTGTATCCTTTTCCCTCCCTCAACTCTCCTTCTTCCATCCCTGTCTTGCAGTCAAGAGGCCCAACCACCACTCCTCTACCCTCACACTTAGTAAAATGAGAAGAAAGAGGAAGCTGAAAGTCTTCTCAAAGAATGTGATATGGAAGAAATGTTTGTGGTTCCCAATAACCCTTGTCTTGACTAGGATTTTTTAAAAAAAATTTCAAATTAATTGTTTTGTTTAAAGTTGTGCCTATCTGGAGAATGACAAAGTATCTGGTTAGTCAGCTATTAATTCATTAAACAATATTATTAAATGCCTAATGGACAATGCATTGAGGTAGGGGAGTATATAATAAAATAAAATAAAAAAAAACATGGTCACTAATCTCAAGGACCTTATAATCTAGAAGCCATTCTGTTGCTCACATTTGTACCACCAATTCACAATCGAATAATAGAAATGTACCAAATGCCTCCTACTCCATGCCAGATTCTACTAGATTTCTGATGTTTCTGTGTGCAGGGGGGAGGTGGGGAAGAGAGCAGTTGAGGTGACATGAAGAAACAAAAAAAGTATAAGAGCTTTTCTGCAGGGACTTTATAATTTGATTAAGATGGCCAGACACAATGAAAATGCAATTAGAAAACAACTTAAGAGCAAATAATTATTAAATGTTATAGTATAAGAGTATACTAACTGTAGAAATTCAAGTGAGTGATTTGGGAAGGCCTCATGGAGGTAAGGCTTGAGTTGATCCTGGATGGATTAGTTAGATTTAGATGGGGGAAAGGGTCTTCAGGTAATGGAAAAGGGACAGGATTCCAGGAAAGAGACCAGCTGAACCAAGTCATGCAGCTGGAATGAGCATGATATACATGGGGAAAAGACTGGCCTGATGAAAGAGAAGAGTGCAAGCTGAGGAGTAATGTAAAATAGAAACATATTATATCAAGGTCTCAGGATATCACTTACAATTTAAATTCCTGTAGGCCACTTGGGAACTAGGATAGGGTGTATTCTGTCTAGGCAATACACTTAAAATATTAGTTTTATCTCATTAAGGTGCCTTCATATGTGGGGGCTGATGAAAGGCTGAGAAAATGGGAAGCATTTATTTTGTCACTTAGAGCCCAACCCATGAGATCAGAGACATGCACTGTCACTGGCCAATTTTATGTTACACAGAGCACCCTGATGACATCTAAGTAGAAGAATATAATCTTAAAAACATGAGACTTGCATGTTTTTCTCATTTTAAAGAAAACTGCTTTCCATATCAGTTGAATACCCTCTTCAAGATCCTAAAATTCTTAAATTCTCCTCTTCCATAGCTTGCCACTATCCTTTATGGGGTCAGTTTATAGTGACATACACAGATCTCAAGATTGCTTTAAAAGTAATTCAAATTCTACACCTTTATATATATCCTGATAGAAATGTAGGTCAGTGCCTTTTTGATTAGGCCCTCATATTAGTAATATGACATGCCTCATTTCTATGGTACTCCTTTAAAGAAATTTAAATTAGTAGCCACCTAGTAGATACTCAGTAAATACTTGTTGAAACTCAGAAAAGCGAATGATTCTAAGAAATCACTGATCAAATTACTTAAAAATTTCCTCATCATTAGATCATCATGTTAAGCTCAGAGTAGAATGGGTCTATTATGAATTATTTCTAACAGCTACATGGTAATGACTCTAATCCTTCTTTAACACCTCATCATGGCCCAAAGATGATCCTGGGTTCTTTAAGGCTATACTAGAGTGGAGTGTGAACTCTAGCAGACCTACTAGTCAAACTAAAAAAGCTTCAAGTATAGTCTAGGTGACAGGGAAATGTTTTTTGTTTGAAGCTCAGCCCAGCTAAGCTTGGAGAAGGCTGGCCACCAGGTAATGATTTTATTTTTATTTTTCAGTCACAGCAGTTCATCACCATACACTAAGTACGGCAATAATTTGTGTTAAAGAAGTGTCCATAACCTGCAAAACCAGAGTTCTTTGAAGTGCTAAAGTATTTGTAAATAACAATAAAAGAGTTCTAACATCCTGAGAGATTTCAAAGTCTTATCACTGTTATTTCTGCTGGTGGCATAGTGGAGAGAGCACTGGGCCTGGAATCAGGAAGACCTGAGTTCTAATCTAGCCTCAGACACTAGGTGTGTGATACTAGGTAAGTCCTTTAACCTGTTTCTTTTGGCTTCCTCAACTGTAAAATGGGGATAATAACAGCACCTACCTCCCAGAGTTGGTATGAGGATCAAAAAAAATAATATTTGTAAAGTACTTAGCACAGTACCTGACATATAAGAAGAGCTAGATAAATGCTTAAGTCCCTTTCCCTTCCCTTCCCTTCTAAACAAGCGATTACATGCAGTAGAATCACTTTATCCCACTGAAAGGCTCTAACACTGAGACTATACACAACCCTTCCACCATTTTAATCTGTTTCAGAAATACCAGCCTGGGTTTGAATCAGAAATATATGAATTTGTTTTAGGAACCATTGTAGGAAGGCTGAAGCATATTGTTGGGTTGTATAAGACAGAAAAGGACAAAGATTAGAAACCACACCCAAATCTATGAACAGAATAGCAGTTGTTTATAAAAACAGTTGGATGACAATACTTGGGTTCCCTATCTGTATATCCTTATCTTCCAATATTAACCATGGCCTGCAGAGTTCTACATTAGGTGTGTCCACTCTACTGCTTGCTTTACCCTGCTGTACATTCTAAAGTCAATTAAGATTGCTCTTCTCCTGATTCTCTCTTACTGTTCCATGAGCGGTACTCTTACTTGTGGCCAAACCACATCCTCCCTTTCTACTGAAAGTGAACACTTATTTTTTCTTGTAAGTTCTCCTGATTGATTGAGGAAATGAGACTTTTTAAGTCAACATAGAGCTAAACCGATAAATACAATAATTATATGAGTTGACTGGTATAGCAGTAGGTCAAAGATTATCCTGGTGAGTTAGAGAAGGATAGAATAAAGGTAAATAGCATGCTCCTTGACAGCAAGAATTCTGTCCCCTATTGTTCTGTGTATTTTCTAGCACCTAACAGCGTTCTATCTACAGTAG